CCCCCAGTCCCCCTGCACGTGCCTGGATTTTGTAAATAATGACAATTTAATGCAAAGTTGGCATTTTTACATGTTCATGACAGGTGTTATGTCATGTTTATGACAGTGTCATGTCAGTCTTATTCAACCCCCTTCAAATAAAGTGTTACCCAAAATTCTAAATACCTACAGTCAACACAGGATGGAGTGAAACTCTGACACAATTTTCATTTTAAGCTTGAACTACAAATGAAAACATTTATTCATAAACTCCCCCATCAGTAATTTTGCTTACTAACTAAAACCGTTTAAAGCAAAAGGTAAGGTAAGGTAAAAACTTTATTAATCCCATAGGGAAATTAAGATTGTCTCACTCACACATTAATTCACATCCACACGCATTAAAAGTGGTCTAGTAAAAGAACTTAAATACAATAAATACATTAAAAATGCTAATTACTCCGTCTCCCTCCCTTAACCCTCCCAGAAATCACAGCATTGTGAAGCCTAATGAACCGTGGGACAAAGGAGTTTTTAAACCTCTCAGTTTAACATCCCAGTGACAGAAACCTGTCACTGCAGGAGCTGCTCTGGTTGGAGAAAACAGTATGCAGGGGATGTCTTGTGTTCTCCAGGACTAAACTGAGTTTAGACATTGTCCTCTGTTCCACCACTGTCTCCACAGACTCCAGGCTCACACTGACCACAGAGCCAGCTCTGCGGATGAGGCGATTCAATCTCTGTATGTCCCTCTTCTTTGCACTGCCCCCCCAACAAACAACAGCATAAAATATTACAGTAGACACAATGGACTTATAAAACATGTGCAGGAGTTTAGAGCACACATTGAAGGAGGTCAGTCTCCTCAAGAAGTACATTCTACTCTGTACTTTCTTGTACACATTGTCTATATTGGAAAACCAGTTCAACTTATTGTCCAGTTGTAGGCCCAAGTATTTGTATGTTCTGACCACCTCTACCTCAATGCCATCAATGATGATAGGCTGAGGCAAGAGGGGCACCCTATGAAAATCAAGAACCATCTCTTTTGTTTTAGAGATGTTCAGTTGGAGTTTGTCCTGTGGCCCCATGCTCCAAAGTCCTTCACCAGGCTCCTGTACTCCCCCTCTCCACCCTCCTTTATACACGCCACAATAGCAGCATCGTCCGAAAATTTTTGCATGTGGCATGTAGCTGAGTTGTATTTAAAGTCAGAGGTGTAGAGGATGAAGAGGAGGGGCGAAAGAACCGTGCCCTGTGGAGCCCCTGTGTTGCTGGTCAGAATATGGACCTACAGTTCGCCATCTTGACGAACTGTGGTCTGTTGGTCAAGTAATCCATTATCCAGTGCACCAAATGGGGGTCCACAGCCATGCTGTTCAATTTCTCCTGTAGTAGATGGGGCTGGATGGTATTGAAGGCACTGGAGAAGTCAAAAAAGAACAAGGGAGTAGTTTAAAAATGAAAGGGTGGTCAAATTGCTTTTTGATAAAACTAAAATTAAATTATTGTACAGCCATGATTAGAAACATGAAGGTAGTGGAAGTCTAACAGAACTTATTAACCTGCCTGAGCTGGTTGTTGCAAACCTTTCCTGGATCCGTAGTGAGGCTGACAACAACAGGAAGTGCTGGTAGCTTCTGGTAGTCCTGCTGCTTACAGTGGAAAGGGACTAGCTCTTGAGTTAACTCCATTTAATGTGTCCTGCAGTATCTGAAATGCATAAATGTGTCAAGTGAAGAAGCCTTAATAGACCTGCTTAGGCTTGTAATTGCAACAGTATTGTTTCCTTCTGATTAAGACAGAAGCGTTCCCTCCGGACCCCCACCCCTCAATTGCTTCAGCTCCTTCATCTGCATTAGCTGCCTCTTCCCTTGCTTTAATCTGCTCTCTCCTCAGGTATTTAGAATAAATCAATGGGAATACATGATTGTTTAATGATTTTTTGGGGGGCTTCCTTCGACCACAGCTGCATGATTTAGAATGACTAATCCCAGTTTTTAGCATTGATCCTAGGTGGTGGGAGGCTGAGCATCCTCACTGAGAAATGGCTGCATTAAGAAGCTACTAGCTGGGCATGTCCAGCATTAAGCTGCGAGAAAGAGATTAGCTCAAGGTTACACACTACTGAATGGGGTAGGTGTAGAATAACAGTGTCCATCTGAAAATAAAAGAAAAAAGGAGCGATTTGTGATCCAACAAGTGCCTATTTTTGCTATTGTTTTTCTGGACTAGCTGTCTTCGATCCATTCACAGATGGTTAATTAAATAAAATAAAAAAAATGTTTTTACTATAAAGACATGCATAAAGCTGTTGGTCTCGGTTTTCTTGCTTTTTAAACATCCTCAAGACAGTATCACTTGGCCACTGATCATCCACATCTGAGTGTCCCACCTCTCTTTCTTCAGCCAAAAATAGACTTTTTAGAACACTCTAAAAAGTCTACTTTTAGAGTACACTTTTTAGAGTGCACTCTTGCATCATGTCTGACGTCATGATGCAAGCTTCACCAGGGACAGTTCGTACTAACCAGGGCGGTGTGGTGGAGCAGGAGTAGCACAACAAATATAAAGGAGATATGAGTCCTTGATGTGGCTGCCGCAGGTTTGATTCCAGCCTGATGACTTTAGCTGCATCTTTCCCTCTCTGTCATTACTCACTTTCCTTTCTAAATACTCTCAAATAAAAAAAGGCTGTCTGAGCCAAGAAAGATCCTTTATTACTTTGCTTCTTTATCTGAAGTAAACTAAATGATCTGAGTAAGAATGACTTAATTTTATCATTTTAAACACACTTAATGAATTAAGTTAAAAAAACTTAATGAATTGAGTTGAATGATCATAATATCTTGATTGGGTAAACTTAGTAAATTGAGTTGGATAGACATAACTTAAGTTGGTCAAATGAATGAAGTTGGATAAACTTACCAATTGAAGCAATTCAATTAAGTTCGTTCAACCATTTTCTTTTTACAGTGTGTACCTGGGATGGATTTTGGCAATGTGCTGCCCAGTCTCCTGTTCCTCTGCTGGTACTGAAATAACTTATAAATGCACACGTCACTATGCACATGGACCATGTCATGTGAGTGTGTGGAAAGACACATGTGCAGCTTTCCTGTTAGGCTTGTTCCTTTAAGCAGGAGTGAGTGAGCAGCAGCAGGCTGGATCATGACTGCGCCTCATGCCTTTTAAAGACAGGAACTCCCAATGGAATAAAAACTTGGTCATAAATGACAAACCTAATTATCACAAAGGCTACATAATGATTTAGTTCTGTCACAAGATTCAAATTGGAAACGACAACTGCATGAAGGCTTTGTTATGAAGCTAACATCAGGGGCACGGTATAGAGGGGAAAAGTGATGACAATTCTAGGGGCTCTGACCAGCAGGGGGGTCCTCCACAATTTATCTATTGTTCATAGAAATAAAAAAATGAGACCCTGTCAGTTACAAAATTAATCATATTGTATTTTCAAAGATTGTTTTTAGCAGTAAAAATTTAATGTTCCCACTCCCAGATCAAAAAACACACATCCATATTTGCCCTGAACATCCCCCCCCACCCAGGAAATGAAATGGTTTGTTCCTGCTTGGAGCGCTTGAGAGTGATGCTGTTCAGCAGCAGACAGTAGGAAACAAGAACGATTGTGGCAGTTACTATGCTGCTAAGAAAAGTTATAAAATCAGGTTTTCAAAAAAAAAAAAAAAAGAGAGAGAGAGAGGGAGAGAGAGAGAGAAAAAGGCAAGAATGTCAATTTATAACCCAGTTTTTCTCCAAGAGAGGTAAGTAGACTGTGTGAGATTATCAACTATTTAGCATAGCTTAGCTACAGACTACTGTTTGCCTCCATTTCACTAGCATTTAATGAATTAAGGAAATAAATTACCAGCATATTCATATATTGAACTTGTCCCTTGTACCTTTTACCACTTAACAACAGATGAGTCAGTCAGCAGCAGCTCTAACCCACGTTCCTTCTGACCTGTCCTCTCCTAAGTGAAATTAAAGCGGCCTTATGTAACTTTTACAAAAAAATATATTTTTCACATATTTATTAAAACTGTCATTATGTTGTGACAGTATGGCATGAGAGGTAATATGTGAACAATCTATTTCCTCTGCTTTCTCCCAGTGCTATCTAGAAACAACCAGTCAGTGGCAGGAGAGTTTTAGTGCTGTCAATCACAATCTCATGTGGCTGCTTATCCTTCCTCCCCATCACTCTGTGCTATTCTGTAGCTAGCATGGCCTGTTGTAAATGCTTAGTCTAGTAAGCATAGATACCAATGATAGCAGATAAACGATTTTCCTGTAACAATAAGTTGTTTCTCCACCAGTAGCACGTTTAGCAGTGAGTGAGTGAAGTTGATTGACAGCACTAGAGCGTCCAACTGGTTCTGATTGGTTGTTTTGGTCAGAACGGTGCATTACTTTAACCAGTAATAGTAATTCAGGAAGGAGATGGAGGAGATTGATTGTTTTCACAGATCATCTGTCTCATAAACTGCTACGACATCGTGACAGCTTTAACAAATATGGAGAAAACATATTTTTTATTAAAGTTGTATACTGCAGCTTGAATAAAATGCAACTACATAGCATTTTTGAGAAGTCTGGATTGCTTTATGTGTATTTTGCACGTTGCTTTTGACTGTTGCTCATGGGGAGACATTTCAGTAATCTAAAACTAATAGAAAAAGATTTAAGCAACCTACTTGCATACTGGATGTGGACTGTTGGATGTTAAATTCATGAGCAGTAAATATTGTGCTAATTATCAGTATTGAACCAAAGAAAGCAAGGCAGATTCAAGCCTTTAAAATTGTG